CTTAAACCAAAAAACCTTTGAAATGAAAACTCAACAAAAATTGGGGGGAAAATGAATACAAGCGTACGCTCGCGCTAGGGATGAAACCATACGAGTAAATACAAGTACATATTCGATACTTTTCGATCGATATCAAGTAATTTTGGCATCGATACTATTGAACCAAGTACTGTGTAGGTATCGAAAAACAAATGCTCGTATCGAAATCCGATATTAACGGCGCGTTTACATTAGACAATGCTGTCAAGACAATAAAGAAATACGTATTAGTTGTCAAAAACGCTGATAATTGTCTCCGTTGCGTAGGCGTGCTGACAATAGTTGTGACAATTCATTTTGAGCAAAATTTCGGACGTGAACGTTGTATTATAATACGCATTTCGCGCGTGCTATTTAAACTAAAAATTAAAATATAATAAAGAAGAGACAAAGTTACATAAACATTAACGTCTCTTGTGTTACTTTAGTTCTTTTGTTATGACTTTCTCTTTCTCGCACAAGACGTCAAAATTATTGTCTGCTTACGTCAAATCATTGTCCGATTTGCTGCCTTGAAAATAATCAAGACAGTGATTGTTGGAGAAGTATGCATGTATTAGCGAAAAAGTGTGTATGTATTGCTATTGTCATGAGAGTATTGTCCGGTTTAAACCCTAAGTTAGGAAAATTTGGCTTCGGCCCTTTTTCCTCAATTGTTATTCCGAATATGAAGCGCCTTGTTCTTTATGGCTGTTTAATTGGCAACCGACAAATGCGACAAAGTCGTTATAGTGCAAAGAATACACGCTCCAATGGCTTCACCAAAGTCATTGGAATGCGACGTATACACGACCCAACTGTTCGAGTGGAAGAGTGACTGGATGAATGTTCAGTACAGACGTCCCAACGCGATGTTAAGCTCACTGCGTAACTCTATGGGTTTGACGCGCGTTAGCATGTGAGTGCCTTGAGCAAAATGCAAGGATATAGATACGCAGAAAAGACTAGCGGGAAATACAAAAGGTAGTGGGAGTCTAGCTCTGTTATTAAAGAATATAATTAAAGAAGAAAACAAGTAGGGTACAGAGAGTTGATAGAAAAAAATGTTGGAAAACTGAAATATTCCAGAAAACTTAAACGCCATCTTCGCGTTTAGAGTGGTGAAAACATGTCGAATAGAATACTAAAAAATCTTTCATATTTTAAATGCTTTAAGAATTTCTTTTAGTTAAATTCCATTCCTATCATTTTGTTTCTGTACTCTTCACACTTCCAATTGTATGTGGAATTATACCTGGTGAAGTAATAAGGAGACATCTTTACAACTATCGTATTTAAATCTTTGGCTCATAATTTTTAAAGGCCTTTATTCGTGGGAAGTACAACAAAAGAAGACTTTTTCTCATAAGTATCTTATTTTTTTCTTAAACAAGATTAACTTGTTATTTTTTTCAATGAATTGTCTGTGTCAAATACCACTCATCATTAAACATCTAATTTGGAGTTTATGATTCCCAGATAATGGTTAACTTACGATTTAAAATAAAAAGATTTTACTTATTTACTTCATAAGGAATACATACCTTCATAGCCAAAAGTATCGATATGAATAGGTATCGATACTTTAGATCCGAGATTTTTCAGGTATCGATACTACTTCCAAGTAAAAGTATCGATACTTGCATGGTATCGTTTCATTCCTAGCTCGCGCTTTGCGTTCTTGTTAGGGATGCGCGATGTTAACCGATGCATCGGAAACATCGATTTTTCGAACTCCATGCATCGAATAAATTCCGATATATCGGTTAATTCGAAAAAAAAAATTCTATATGTTAGTCTAGGCAAAAAGCTTCCTACTTACCCAATTTCAAGCACATCGAACGATAAATCAAATAGTTACGAAAAGATCAATCTCTGGTCCACTTCCCGGAAAAAAAGTATTCATGGCTATCACAGAATCCATCGTAGCTTCGATTTTCGTGAAATCTACGAAAGTGCTATCACAGAATCCGAATGGCTACGAACGTAAATTCGAAATTCGTAGAGAGCCTTCATTGAATCCGTTCGTAATGAAGATTCGTACAGATACTCTACGACGAGATTATGCTGCCGGAACAAAATTTAAAATCACTCAATCTTAAAAATAGTGGAAGAAAGCTGCATTATTTTTAATATTAAATATTTATTATACTCCAAATTTGTTATAGTTTGATATAATTCCATATATTTGTGTAAACGTAGACGTAAAATACCAATGCCATACATACATACATACATATGTATGTACATTAAAGTGGTCCAAAAATGTATGTAAAAAAAATAAGGTCGCATTTTTAATGCCGCCAGCCCCTAGGATTGTTCTATACCAAAAAAATTATACCCCTATTTTTTATTTTGAAAAAAAAAAAAATTAGGGTGTGCTCAAAGCGCTCAAAGTTTTCAATGTATTTTATATGGGGAAAAAACAACTTTTCGTAGAAATAGTGTAGAATTCTTGAAAATCAATATTTTTCGAACGGAAAACTTTGCTTATCTTCAGGAGAGGAGAGGTAATAATACCCAATTGTTCCTTTAACAATCTTTTCATGGTGACTATATTTTATGGGTCCTTGAAAATGCAATGGGGGGACCAATAAAAAATATTTAATCATAAAAAATGGGTAAATAAACAATTGGATATCAATATTTGAAGTCTCCTGAAGAGAACCACAGTTTTACGATTGAAAAATATTGATTTTCAAGAGTTTTATGTCATTTTTTCGGAAATTTGTTTTTCCCCATATAAAAAGCATGGAAAACTTTGAGCACTCCCTAAATATTTTTTGATTTCAAAATAAAAAATAGGAGTATATTTATTTTCGGTTCAGAACAATCCATTAAAATTCCGACTTTATTATTTTGAACCACTCTAATGTACATGCACGCATTCATCTGCTAGACGCTATTTAATGAATTAATATTTTGTATGAATCGAGGAAATAATAGTTTAGCAACAGTTTATTAGGAAATAAACCTAATTACTTTAATATCATAAAAATGTATTTAAAAAAATCCATATTTTTGTATTTAAAATAATAAAATCTAAGCTAAAAAAAAATATTTATTAAAAAAATAAACAAAAATGAAAATGAAAAAAATCTCCACAGCCCCACGACTCGGACTCGAACTCGGCTCTCTCAATCGGCAGTCTAGTGCTTTGCACACTCGGCCATTGCGCCTGATGGGGCAGCGTGAGCAAAATGACATACATATATAAATGTCTGTTGTTTCCTTTGCACTAACTGATTTCGAATCAGCATTCGAAGCTGGCAACGATATTTTCGAGTTCACTCGGATTCAGTGATAGCAATTTTTTCGTATTCGTAGCGGGCATTTGAATTCGTAGATTTTCTACGATGGATTCCGTGACAGCCCTGATTATGCGTGTTAACCCTGGCAAAAAGATACCCTCGTACCAAATTTCAAGCAAATCGAACCATAAATACGATTTTTTCGAATAGATCGGTCATTGGTCCACTTCTCGGAAAAAAGTATCGGCACGATTACGATAACCGGGCGACAAATTTTGAACAAGGACGTCGATAGAGGTATTTTTTTTGATGGGAAACAAAAAGAAAAGGGTCAAAGATTAAATTCATAATTTTTTTAATCCAAATATCTTGAAAACAAAAGCACGTATTTCAAAATTTTTGATGTCATTCAATAGGAATTATGAATGCCTTTAACACGATATACAAATGTTATATACAGCTTATAAAGTTTCAGCAAAAATTCAATATAACTAAAAAAAGTTACAAAAAATATTAAACAATCACATGATTATTTAAAGATTTCCTTATTAAACATATTCAAACATTTCATAATCCAATAGGATATAAAAAAAAAGCTTTCATTTGATATACATTATGTCTTCAGTCGTATTATCCTTATGTGAATAAATTACAGTAATTACAGTTGCTTGTAAATGCATTTAAATTTTTTATGATCACTGAATTCTTAAGCCTCAAAAGCAGACCATAATAAAATGCTTATACAAAATTAAGGGTAATAACTTGTCTTTCTAAGTAATGTATATTTCTTTAGCATTAATTACGTAATTTTTTCAAAAAAGGTAATTTTATGAAAGAAATTATGAAATTTGTTTAGTTTTCTAATATTTTGGGCTTTAAGATATGAAAAATAAGATAAATTAGATACATGAACAGAAAGATAGATTAATTATCTTTATTTTAACACATTACTCTTTTTAATCGGTTGTGTAGTTCATAAAATATTAATATTTAAAAAAATCTCAAAAATAACTTTCAACACTAAATATCTTGAAAACTAGAACGTCCCGATCGCTAAAAATGGGCAAAGTCAAAATTTGTCGCCCGGTTATCGTAATCTCTCCAAAGTATCCTTTTATCAAGGAAATCGGATAGTCAATTTCGGAGTTCATCCTGGATCAAACTATAACATATTTGGAGTATAATAAATATTTATTATTAACAATAATGCAGCTTTTATACATTATTTTTTTAAGATTGAATGATTTTAAATTTTATTCCGACAGCATAAACTCGTCGTAGTTTATCTTTACGAATCTTCATTACGAACGGATTCAATGAATTCTCTCTACGAATATCGAATTTACGTTCGTGGCTACGGACCATTCGGATTCTGTGATAGCATTTTCGTAGGTTTCACGAAAATCGAGGCTACGATGGTTTCTGTGATAGCTCTGAACGTGACACACAAATTGTGAGTACTCGAATTCGTCGAGTGATGATTACGTGTAGGTAGTAATATGTAGGGCCAACATTACAATTATCCTACTGGCATAAAGGCTTTGCAAGATGAGCAGCGCTTAAACGCTTATTTGACAAGAACGTCTACGTCGTGAGCTTATGAAACTAAGTACAAATAGAAAGTTTGTTAAGCAAGTTTATTGCCTAATACTTTAAGATTTTCCAAGTAAAAAGCGTTTACTTATTTAGAGAATATAGAAATTGTAATATTCATAAAATGCGCTCCGCTGTTTACTCAGCTACTCCGTCTTTCTTTTCGCTGTCGCCTTTGGTTCCATCTGAAGCGTTAACAGGAACTGCGGTCGATGCCAGTCCCTGATTGCCCGATACTCCAGCTGGTGTAGGAGGAACAGCTGCAGGCTGCTGTTGTGCCAAAGCTGGATGTGATGGCTGACCGTAAACATCATGAGGCTGTTGTGGTTGGCCTGGCGCACCATGTTCTGGATAGTGGATCGGCGATCCATTATGTTGTGGTGGCGGACGCGCATTCATGTAATGGGAACCGGGCGGGGGCCCATATGGTTGTTGATAGTGGGGGTAGGGAGCATACTGACTATAAGGTTGTGATGGATGAGCTCCATATTGTGGTTGATAGTATGGTGACCGCGTCGGGCCTGTTGGTGCGCCATAACTCCCATAATTGCTATGCGGCGGTATAGCCGACATAGGTTGATGCGGCGGCAAATGCGGCGGTAAATGAGTGTGCGATGGAGGTGGTGGGTGATGTGGGTGCATTGACATAGTAGGAGGGA